TGTTGACCTTGCCATTAAGGTGTGCTTTAATTTTAAGGAATATATGATTGTCCTAAAATATTTGCATTTTAAAGCAATCCTTTGAATACCGCTTACCAATATCTAGTGTAACCATTGGGAGTGCTTCCAGTATTCCTTCCTTGATGCTGGCAAGTCTTGGACCATATCCTTAAAGACTTAACACTTACAAAAAAAAACCCCACAAACCAAAACAAACAAAAAACCCAAACAACCCCCCCCCAAATTATATTAATCTAAAGGTTTATAGTATAATTAAGAAAATAAAATATTTTTATATAGAGAATAATAGCTTATAACCAAAGTGCTTCTAAGCTGACTCCCAGTACTGCTTTCTGACTGTATGGGAAGGTAGGGTTTCAACCAAAGGCTTTGGAGTCAAAGATTTAACAAAGACAACCCAAAAATGCCTCCGTAAGTCAGTTTATATCACTGTGAAAACACGGTAAAACAAATAAACACATTTTGATAGCATGTGTAATCCCAATAATGTACTACCCATGTTGGAATTCATTCATATTTAGTTCTATAATACATTGAGTTATATAGGTCACATCTTGTGTCACTGTGTGTATGTATACAGTATTCCCCTGCCCACTCATGATTATGTAACTGCAGCATATATTTGTATAAAACAGCTATTTTATGAATATTATGTATTTATGTCATCTTTTAATGCAGTTAAACAGCAAGAAATGAAGAATTCTGGCAAAGTATTACCAGTCACAACTCTGCAGAAGTCCAACTAACACTTTGAAGAATAGCAGCAATCCTAGAATCAGATTTTCAAAACAGATGTGCGTGAAGATCTGAAGGTAAATTTGATTTAACATTTATTAATATAGTGAAAAGACATATAAGAAAAGAGCAGAATGTGTCATTTGAAATAAACATTATTAAATTTTACCTCTGTTTAATAGTCAAAGCTTGTTTTACTAAAATAGGTAAGGGCATTTGTTTGTGTGTGAATCTATAGCTTCTGTGCCAACATTAACAACTGTGAGCTTAGTTTGATAATAACCAGGCAAAGATTATAAAATCAGTAGTGCCAGCTGCCTGGCCTGTGTACAATCAGGCTTTCACGAAAAATCTGGGGACTGGATTTGACAAAAGCAGAAAGCAGCTGTTCTCAACAGCACGCTTCCGCTCAGAAACTACAGCTGAGTGAGAATTAATGCTCCTTTTCACATTAGTGCACTCTTCCACTGATCCTCATAGCAGCTGTTGCTGTGCTTCCCCTAAATACTTAAACTGGAGTTGTGTTAGGACTGCATGCAGCAATTGGCAAAACATTCAGTAGGTAAAAGTCCTGAAATTCCAGGGAAATGGACTAGGTAAATCATGTGTTGGTTTTGTGATCTTTGTTCTTTCAGTACCATACTTCCTGGAGCCATAGTGGGTTGGTTTGGTATGCAGGCAGGATAATAATTTGGTCCCACACCCCAGATGTGTATCTTAGAAGATGATGTCTGTCTTATACTTGGAGGAAGATTGTATGGAAAATTCTATAGGCTGTAACTAGCCCCTCTGGAAATAAACATTAAAGTTTTGGGGCATTCTTCCTTTTACTGTGCAATGATCATTTAATGACTGGAGGTATATTTGCAGCTGTAACAGTTCCCTCCTGATGACTGTGAGAAAGTCATTTTATCACATGGTACTACAGTTTCTCCGAAGGTGGCGTAGGAATAATTAAACCTGTCTTCTCGATAGAACACCATGAAGTTTGTGTAGGAAGCTGGAAGCTGAAATTATTTTAGGAGCGTTGGGAAGACCATCTTGAGGAACAAAGCTTATATGGTCTGATTTTAACTATTGCACCTTTTCTAGTTAGTCTGAACTGGCATGTGGCAGTTGTGGCAGTGACTGGGACCCCAGCCCACATAGCTTTTGAGCGTATATACTGTTAGTGTAAACATAATCATTGAAATCAGTCAAACGTCTTACCCTGTCACTTTGCACTTGCTTGTCAGGAAGCATGAAAGGGCAAATTTTGTCTATCTTTTGCAGAGATGTTCGGGGGAGTGCTGAATCCTGCGTTACTTGAACTGAGTTCTTCAGAGCTTTTATTGTAGACAGAGCTCAGTAAACTGAAGCTCCCAATTCAAATAAATCTTCTTCATGCTCCTATAGTAAGAGCCAACCTTAAGTACTAAATTCAACCTTCGACTATTCATGTTTGATTGTACTTTTAATTATGCATTATTATCAGAGCGTTCCGGAGAGAGATGCTTTGATCTGAACTGATTTTTGGAACATTTGGGAAAACTGGAAGTGTTGTTCGAGCCCACTAGATGTCAGTCGCGCCACACAATAGAGTTCTGCAGCTCTGCTCTGGTCGCTACGCAGGTAGGACTGGGTGTCTTCAGAGTAACGGATGAGTTGTCTTGGATCATGGAGATTGGCTATGTAAGGTCTGTCATATTTTAAATAACTCTAGGAAATAGTTCCAGGAACAGTGCTGCAACCCATTTATTTTGATTGTATGATGTAGTTCCTACCGAACAATTTATATGCAGCAGAAATACTTTAGGGAATAAGAAGACACATCAGAAGCAATTAAAAGGAAATATTTCTGAATAAATGGACATTCAGTGACCTAAAAACTATTAAAGGGAACTGATATCAGCAAATAATGCTTTGATTTCTGACTCTCTTCTCCTTTGGAGTCTTTCTTCTCTAAAATGTGACAGCTATTCTGACCTTGATATGAAATGAAATTACAACATTTATTATTGCTTGTGGAAATGGAATTTTAGATCTGAAAACACATCCAATAGTAAGGTTCATTAAGAGATGGTTCATTTGCAGTACAGGAACCCACAAAAAATGAGAAACCTAGATAAAGAAAAAGCAGAACTTGTGGAAAGTATAGAAATAGGAAAGGAAATGTAGGGGAATTCCATTAAAATATTAAAAAGTCGGTGGCGTTAAAATGTAAAAGGTGAGGTAGAACAAAGGACAAAAATTGATGTTGCAGATGTAAAGACAGAAGAAAACTTCAGGTGATTATTCAACATTTCCATAGATTTGCTGGTGTATGCAGGAAAACCACAGAATCGTAGAACAGCCCAGGCTGGAAGGGACCTCAAAAGATCATCTGGTCCGACCTTTCATGGAAAAGGGAGCCTAGATGCGATTACCTAGCACTCTGTCCAGTTCTGTCTTGAAAACCTGCAGTGATGGGGACTCTACCATGTCCCTGGGGAAGTTTTGCAGTAATTGATTGCTCTCACTGTAAAAAAATTTCTTTCTTGTATCAAGATGAAACCTCTCCTAGTGCAACTAGTACCCGTTGCCCCTTTGTCTTCTCCAGGTGTCTCCTTGTGAAGAGAGAGCCTCCATCCTCTTTGTAGCTGCCCTTTAAGTGTTGGAATACTGTGATGAGGTCCCCGCTGAGCCTTCTCTTCTCCAGAGAGAAGAAACCTAACCCCTTCGGTCTTTCCTCATTGGACAGGTGCTCCAGCCTTTTGATCATCTTCATGACCCTCCTTTTGGACCCTCTCCAGTCTGTCCACATCTTTTTTGAATTGTGGGGACTGGAACTGGACACAGTACTCTAGGTGCAGCTTGACAGGTGCTGAGTAGAGTGGGATGATGTCTCTGCTAGTAATGCTCCAGCAGACGCAGCCTAGGATCTGGTTTGCCTTTGTTGCTGCAGCGGCACACTGCTGACTAATGTTCAGCTGGTTCTCCACCCAGGTCCCGTTCAGCAAGGCAGCTCCCCAGCCAGAGCCCAGCCTGTACTGGGCCCTTTGGTTCTGTTGTCCCAGGTGCAGGACTTTGCACTTCTCTTTGTTAAACTTCATAGTGTTCTTGCTAGCCCACTCTTCCAGCCTGGCCAGGTCTCTCTCTGAGATGGCTCTCCCTCTGACATATCCACCTCACCACCCAGTTTAATGTCATCAGCAAACTTGGTGAGGGTGCATATTATATTATATTAATTCTAAAAATTTTGTAATGGTTCTGAAGTGTAATTCCCACTACTGGAAATTGTATTAGTAGTATCAAGCTTGTAAATGAAAATACTTATGTTTGCTAGACATGGTGTATTTACTGGATAATGCTAGACTGTGAATGACATTTTGACTGTTGAATTTAACATTTTTTTCATTATTATTGTACTTTTTTCCCAGTTTTTGGAAGGCAGAGGTTAAAAGTACTTGGCTATGTAAGAAGTTTGAAGCATTCTGGTTTGAGCCAGTTGTTAATTTGCTCATCAGCAACATAAAAGTCACATAGAGCACCCTTCTCCCTGTATCCCTCACACTCCATCTCCGTTAGAAGCTTTTAAATTACTTCTTGTTATATAAAGGTTTGTTCTAGCTCCAGATTTATAGCTAGGAACATTTTCTATGTGCTCATTTGCACATACTCTGCAACTCTCATTCTGAAAGTATTTGTATACTCAACTCTTCCACACACCTATAGATATGCATATGTAAATATTTTTTGAAAAATAATTAGCCTAGAGGTACATATTTTTGTTCTCGGCTCACTAAGCCTAACTGAAAACATGTGAAAGATCCATAGGAAGTCATTGCACTGCTTGAAGATTTTTCTGATCTCTTTCCCACCTTGCCTTACTTGCTTGTTATGCGGACAATAAAAATAAGAAAAGTATCATAGTTCTTTGCCTTCTTTATTTAAGAAAAAAAACATGCTACATTGGAAAAATCTTGCAACAGAGGAGTTAAGTATTTTTATCACATAGAAACAAATGACGGTACACATACTATATTTCTGAGTATGTGCTTTCATGTTTAACATTTAATCAGTGTACATGTACTTGAATATGAGACACACTTTTGAAAATCTACATCTATAAGGCTATCAAAAAAGACAAATACATCTGTTTAAAATCAGTGCACTTATTTTTTGAATGTACAAAAAC